GAGATGGAAGAATAACCATGAGTCCTGGAATCTGGAGAAAGGTGTGGAAAGGAATTCAGGAAAATGACATCCCCTTCCCTTCCTTCCCTTCCCTTCCCTTCCCTTCCCTTCCCACCAGGTTTGTCGTCTTGCATACCAAGGCCCCGAGTGCACTTTCATTGCATTGGGTTGGTGGGGGAGGACAACGACAGGAATCAGTGACTGTATCTCCGCTTCCTCGCTGGGGCCGGAGGCAGCGATGCCGGCGTGCCACCTGACGGCACCCCACGCCATGCCGAAGTCACCGTACAACTGGGTACCAACCACACCCTCTGACGGCGTGGCACAACCAACTATGAGTCGGCACGAGTCCATCCTCCCAAGGCAATTCTCTGCACGCACAACTTTCCTTCCAGAAGGACTTACAGTACTTGCCGCTGGTATTTACATTTCCAATTTAACGGCATATATTCACTGCTTACACAAACATTGCATACGAAGTGCCCCCTGGCCTGCAGGCGATGTTGCATATGTAACAGTGGGGCACTGGGTTTTGCACTGAGAGATTACAATGCTGTATCTATAGAGTCTTTTGCTTAAGTCTCTGTCTCAGGCTTGACTACAAAACATCACCTCCAAAAAATTTACACAGGCTTTTTCTCCCTCATAGGCTTAGGTTACATGGAAAAGTTTTGCTGGCATAGCTGTACTGTGAGAAGTAAATAGTAAAAGAACATTGTCAGCCAAATAGCAATGTCAGCAAAAAGTTGTGGGTAGCTATATATACAGTTGTGGGTATAGCCTACTCTGTCCAGGGAAATGGCTTAAGTTATAGAGGCAGAGGAATGCTTGCCAGTGTGAGTTCTCTTCCAAAAGGGGTTTATCAGCACAGCTCTACTGAAATAATCACATTTTGAATGCAGGCCTGTGCTCAGTCTCTCTGTCAAAACAATTATCACAGAGAAAAAGTTTCCTGTGTTTGGTAAATTTTGAAATAAGAATGTGGCAATCTATATCCCTAGAGCATGCTGTGATAAGTCTCTGCCCACTGGGATCTGCTGGGCTGAGGCCATTAGCTCTTTCAGATACACTGGCAAACTGCTGAGCTTGGAGAGGCTTTCAGTCACTACCAACCTGGGATGGATGAGAGCGGGTGATCTTGTTGTATGAGGCTCCGTATCCCACAGCCCTGAGTCATTCAATCCCCTGACTGTCTCTTCCCATAAGAATTTATCTTTTCTTTGAGTATTTTGCCAGTGGGAGCTTGAGGGTAGCAGGGTCATTGCAATCCATTTCTTTGAATACTCTGTGGGATCTCAGCTTGGCGCAGTTCATTTTTTCATCCCAAAGAAAGCGTGTGTACAAAAGTAAAAGATCTGGAAAGCGTTTAGCATCATCGGAACTGCCAGCACTGCTTCCTTTGTTTGCTCTATTTAGCCTCATGACATTTTTTATCATCAATTAGCTCAAACACAGAAAAGCTGCATCTCTCAGTTGACTGCGGAACATAGGTATTGGGGTTCAAATTCCCCTTGTTAGTCTTCCTGAGAAGCTGGGCCGATGCTTGTTGTGTATCCTGTTATTCCAGTCAGCCTAGAGACAAGTGCCAGAGCTGGCATGAAAGGCATGTCTCAGAGACAGAGAAAACCAAAGGTAAATTCCTCCCACTCCATGCTTGGGCTTAGTGTACCTGTGTATCCTTCTTATGCCAGACATAACAAAGGCAGAAGCAGTTGTAGAGAAGGACAGAAAGGGGACTGCTAATACAGAAAATTAATATTGAAAGAATCAGTACAGTAACGAGTCGCAATGTTCACTCTGGGAAGACAAGGTCTTCCAACTGGAGAATTCCCTAAAGGGAGGAACAGTAGCAATAGATTTGAAAAAGAAAAAAAAAAAAAAAAAAAAGAAATCCAATCACATACTCTATATTTAAAAATTAAAAAGACTACCAGATGCAATTACATTCATGATTAAAAGATCTAACAGAAGCATATTTAAATTCATTAACTTAGTCCACACTTTACTACCTCAGGAGACCAGCTGCTCCTGGAATACAGAGCAGCAAAATACAAACTACATCTTGCTTGTATTTGATCAAACCCTTTTGGAAGTTTCAATGATCTGGCTGTTAACATCTCTTAGGTGATAATTAGGCTCTTGGGGCAGCAAACATTGTTTGGGAGACAAAATGCACTGTGGAAACATAAGTAGTGGAGCCTTCTGCCTTGCTGAAGAGTCAGTTACTCCACTGTATAAAAAAAGGCAGGCAAGGGCAAAATGAGGCCATTTTCAAACAGAGACTCATTTTGCCTGTGTATATCGGCAATCAGCAGATGCTCACCTCTGTGTAAACTGTTTACTTTAGGTTTTGCTCATTTCTTGCAACATATGTTTTAACCACGAGATTTTAGCCCTTGCACACCATGGCTTATGAGCACGGCTCTTCTCTGGAAAACAGACGCTGCGTGGTTTTTCCATCACTATTTGACAGCTGTTTGGTAGCAGGTACCAGCTGGGGCTGAGCAGACACTCCTCCCAATTCCCGCCCTCCCAAGCCGAGTCTCTGGTCTGCCCTGGCCTCCTGCCGGGGGATGCTCGGGGGATGCTCCAGGACCCCTGGCTGCAGGACGAGGCTTCAGGGCACTTCTGGAGGTGCTGGGAAGAGCCAGAACCTCTCCATGGGATGAAGCCTGTTAGCGGGGCAGATGCACAACAGTATTCTCCATCTGTCCCAGGAGGGCACTAAATTAACAGTGGAGGCACTGACTTACTTCCTTTCTGTTATTGCCATGGGACCTATTTCCCTGTGACTGGACAGGAAGAGACTTAATTAATGATAACTGGGAATTTCTGTTTATTGTTGGGTCTGACATCCATCTGTACTTTTAGTCTTTCTCTCTGTATGCTATGCCTGTTTTGGTCTCCTCCATCCTGCAAAGCAAAGCTCACCTCCTCTGGATAAAGACCTTCCTTCTCAATAAATCTTTTAAATAATTCTGACAGTTGGAATCTTTCCTGTCCTTCCTGCACAGTCCCCCATAATCAAGCGCAAGAAACATCAAAGGGCAGAGCTGACCTTTCAGACAGACAGCTACACGTGTGTCTGAACTGTCAGGCAGACATTTTCAGGACCCATTTCAGGATTTTACTCATACGAGTTAGTTATGATCCACAGCAGAGCTCTGCATTATGGAAGCGTCTGCTCTCCCTCCATGCCTCTGGGAAGTTGCACCATTCCTGAAGAGCTGTAATGCAGCTTGAAACCAGCAGATTTAGACCATTTGTGGCACTATTTGTGCCACATGAACGTTATTTCCTCACTGTCTGCAAATGTAACTGAAGTTGCCTGGTCTCTTCCCACACCACCAAAGAAGCCCTGATGGTATGCACAGGAGCAGGAAGAGTCTCCTGCTGTCTATGTCTCCCAACCAAGCCAGCCTCGTTCTTTCAAATGAAGTCGGTGGAGATGTAGCTACACCAGTTGTCCCACTCAACTTTATTTCTCCTTTGTCACTGAAGGACTGGAGAGATCTATTTTATTTTGCTTTAAAAGCCATGTAAGGCAGCTGACTTCCATTGATGAAAGCCAAGAATAATTCAGGTATCAGAATCACAGCTTCAAATGGTTCTTGTTTGAGTGCTAGGCAGGCAATACCTCACAGCTGAGGGTATGGAGGTGAGAGCTCCTGCAGGAGCTGGAGAAAGATGCTCTGCCATGACTCATCAGCCATCCCTCCGGTGAACGAGGACATAATGATAGGATTAGTCAGAAAAATTACAACTGTAACCAAAAGCAAGAAGAAAACAGGGGAAAAAATAGGGAAGAGGATGGGAAATTGCACTGGTCCAAAACCACTCAACACCAGCTTTCAATTTTAAAACTATTTGCTAGTAACTCAACTCTAGACACGTGATTCTGGACATGTTTCTATCTCACAATCAGAATTAAAAGCAGTCTCAGATCCTCATTCTGATGAATAGTAACTACATTTTTTGTTGTTATATATGGGAACATGTATCATACATATTATACTGTGTTTCAAATACATAGGAAGATTCCACTTATTGCTGTATTTTTGGGGCAATCCTTAATACTGCTCCAAAAGTCAAAAAAGTACATGCTTAAGTCCATTACAATATGAGATAGCTTTCCTGAATGGGACCTGGAATTCAACCTGAGCTGAAGTTACTTATAGCAAAAACCAAATGTATTTCATGCAATACCTGTGCTGTGCATGTGAGTTGGAAAATAATGGGATTGGATTTTGTGAAAAATTTACATGGAATTGTGAGTGGGTCTTTCTCTTTCTAGAGTACTCAGTCTCAGAGAAAAGGGAGATTATTTGCATCTAAGAGCAAAATGCCCATTAATAGCATGAACAAAGTTGTATGGATGAGGCTTCTGATGGCACTTAACAGCAACTGCGTGCCAGAAGTCCCTTACAAAGAGAGATGTGCCTTGTATCGTTCTCATCATCTAGGAGCCTGAAAGGCTGCTGTGAGTCCTGAGATTGGGTACTGAAGATGGTGGGTGGCAGATTTATGAATCACACTCCAATTTTTTAACCCAAAGAACCTTCAATACCTTTTACTACCCTTTCCCTTCATCAGAAATTACTGGTTATCCTTGACAACAGATAGCTCCACCTGCACTTTTATTCATCCCCAGTGAATACACAGATTTTCTTTAAACACATTCTCATCTGCTTAAGCTTTAAGGAGTAGCAGAATATTCTGGGAGAAAAACTTGGAATGATCCAGATGACAGGATAGGGAGGACAAGGAAGGAAGACATGAAAAGAGGATCTTGAGATGAGTTGTGATTAAATTTGTTAGATTAAATTTGCAAAATTACTCAGAGTATTGAACATATCAGCCTTGAGTTCACCATCAGGTCAATCTGGTTGTAAAACAAAGGGCTTCCCCTTTTGAAGGGGTAAAATAAAAAAATATTAGCCCTTTTCTCTTTTAAAACCAGTCTGTGCAGGAGGGGATGCTCTGGCTGTAAATGACACGATTCTCTTTTTGGTCAGTATTTGGGGTGAGGTTAGCTGCATATGTCATCATCCAAAAGGCTTATTTTTAGACCCATACCTACTATAATCCTACCTTTTCTTTTTCTTTATGTGGATAAAGTTTTCACAGGTCTTACCTAAAAAACTACATTCATACCAAAATGAGAAACAAGAACTTTTCAAATGATTGCTATTAATATGGATGAATTACAAACAAACCTGGCCTTGATGCAGCCTGAAAGCTGAACATCTCAGAGGCCAATTGTCACTTTTAATACGCTGAACATGCCTGTACTCTGACGGAGAACTGCTGTCGTTACAAATGTTTTTCCGGGCACCAGTGCTGACCTCTCCTGT